GATACGACCACGAGGTGGCAGTAGTGCACGCGAGCTTCCGTTTCGCAGAGCGGGGTCGAGGGAGATCCGAGAAAGGGGCTTACGGGGCTCGTGAGGACACTCAGCACAAGGGGAGTCTCTGGGAGACCCCTAAGGGCAGTAGCTGCTTTTTATTTATTTTATTTTTAGAGAGGGGAAGGGAGGGAGAAAGAGAGGGAGAGAAACAGCAATGGTTACATTAGTGTGTGGTTGCCTCTCACATGCCCTCAACCAGGGACCTGGCCCACAACCCAGGCATGTGCCCTAACTGGGAATCGAACCACTGGCCCTTTGGTTCGCAGGCCTGCACCAGCCAGGACTGGTTGGAGTCTTTTATCTACAGGTTCACTTTACCTATGCTAACAGATGTTGGGCAGACTCTAAATGGCTAAAATTATCTGCCTGTTTGGGCTGCTATATTTGAAACAAATGAATGTGTAGAAGTTTGAATTTGGCCCTGGCAGGCTTTAGGGCCAAGAGTCTAACGCAGTATGAAGAAATAAATGACACCGAGCCAATGTACAGGGAGCTGTGTATAGTATCGTGTGTACGACAGGGACCCGAAAACCCTGGAATTCATTTATAAAAAATTGTGTATTTATTCTTACATGTTTAAACTTCAGTCACCTTCCAAGTATTCTCCATTTGATGAACTACACCTATTGAGATGTTCTTCCCCTGCTTAAAACAGCTTTTGAACTCGATTTTGATGTCTTTTAGTCCTTTTGCCGTTTTCTGTTTCATCCCTTCCGCATCAGCAAAGCGTTTCTCCTGAGGGATTTTTTTTCATCAGGGGGGAAAACAAAAGTCACTCAGGGCACGATCGGGCGAATAGGAAGGGTGAGGCCCTGGGGTCATGCCGCTTTTAAACACTTAACACTGTGCGGGCAGGTGAGCTCCTAAATCACCCATCACGAAATGGGCATACTTATTGAAAGAGTCCTCAAAAAATTAAATCACTGAAGTGGCAGCCTCTCACAACAACGCCAGCTGGTGCAATACTGCAGATGGGTTCCTAGAACACCCACCTCGGGGGGGAAAGCCTATCCTACAAGGGGCCCGCCCTCCAGAATATAGTCCCGTTTTGGCGGGGGCGGGGCTTCCCTCCGTGTATAACAGGTGGACATGGGACTCAAGATTGGCCAAATCAGAGTAAAACAGAGTGAACTGCAGTGATTGGCTCTGCAACAAGACACAGAGGGATCCGAGCTGTTCCCTTAGAAGATTCTAGTTGGAGACTGCAGTGAGAAGTTCTCTACCCTCTGCTTTTGAATTTTTTCTTAAACGGCACGTTTATTGACGTACAGTTCTGTATGCCGGAAGTCTGAAATCAAGGGGTCCTCGGGGTCTTGCTCCTTCTGCAGGAGCTGGGGAAGGAACTGTCCCAGGCTTCGTCCTTGGCTTGTGGCCCATAACTGCGGTCATTACATGGCTTTTTCTCTGTGTGCCTGTGTCCAAATGACCCCCTTTCCTGAAGGATAACACGTGTTTTTGGCTGGATAGCTCTGTCGGCCTGTTCCCTGCCGGTAGCATCCCAGGCTTTCTCTACTGGATCCAGTCTCTGTCCCCTTCGGTTTGGGTTGGCAGCATTTCTGCCGCGATTATTTACTGGATACACACGCCTAATCTCTTAACAAAGGGGTTGTTCAGCCATACCCTTGGCGTTGTCGCCAGAACATGCTTGTTCCTGTCTTGCAGGATGGATAGGCTGAGAATTTCCCGGAACTTCAAGTCCTGGTTTCTTGTTTTGCTGAACAATTTCTTTGCTTTATCTCCATCCTGTTAATCCCTCTGAGGACGGGGGGATGGGGTGGTTCCGGGGCTCTCTCCCAGCTCCCGGTTGTCCCTCAGCTTGTGGCTGCCCAGTTCCGCTTGGCACGTGGCATTCTCTCTGTGCGCATCTTTCCTCTGGTTTTAAGGGCAACGCGGGGCGTCAAGTCCTCTGTCATGCCGACAAGGCTGACCCTCCTGCCAGTTGGGTTACTCAGTAAACTCCGTTCTTCCTGTTGCTTTCAAAGCTGATTCAGACTTGTGGTTTTGGGCTTTTGTTTTTATTTCACTTTTCATCACAAGCAACCCAGAGTCCTGTCCACTAGTGTGAAGAACCTTGATAGGTCCCAGGGAGTGCGTGGTTTTCAGTTTCAAACAGGGCAGCTGATAGAGTTGAGGCCAGAGAGGTGGGTAGGGATCGGCCCTCACAGGGTCTTAAAGGCCTTGGTCCCGAGGGTGCGTGGGGACCCTGGGAGGGTCTGAGCAGTGGAGGGACAGCATTGGCTCCGGGTGTGGAAAGAGCCCTTTGAGATCTGGTGGTGAACTTACTGGAAAGGTAAGGCTGGAGGCTAGGGGGTCAGGGAAGAGATAAAACAGAGGCCAAGGTTGGAGCCCTGACGGGCCTCTCATCTCTCCAGGCGCCCCTGGCCCGGCCCCGGATGAGCGCTCAGGAGCAGGTGGAAAGGCTACGCAGAAACCAGGAGTGTGGACGGCTTCTCCCTCGGCCGGCTTCTCCCCGGCTCCTCACGCTGGGGAGGACACTGTCCCCTGCCAGACGCCAGCCCGACGTGGAACAAAGGGTGAGGGGAGCAGAGGGGAGGTGTTGGATCTTCTGCTTCTAGTCCGAGCCTCAGTTTCCCTCCCTGTAAAACGGGGGGTGTTCCCTGCCTTTGTACCCAGAACTGAGTTTCCAAGTTCACCCTAACTTGTCCCTGCGCTGAAGTAGTCAGCATCCTGGTCCCCTTCTCAGTGCGGGGCTGGTTGGGGGCAGGGTAGATACAACATCCCCACCTCACCAGGGGCCATGGGTCTGGATTGGATGCCCGATTTTTCTTTTCAGTTACTATGTGTTGTCAAAGAGCAGGGAAGAAAAGAGCAAGTCAGGAAATAGATTTCATTCGTGCTATATTGCAGTGGGAGGCGCCCCAGATCCGAAGGGCTGAGCGCCTGCCCAGGGCGGTTTGATCTGACCTCCCGGGGAGGAATTAGACAAGTCCTAGGTGGGATGGATTTACAGGTAGGATTATTTTTGTAATCGGCGCGTCTCAGTCTGCTGATCACCAAGCGTTTATCTCTGTGTCCATCTAGTTTTTGGGGGATGAACAGTTCAGCCAATCGTTTGTGAGGTAAAGGGTGAATTTGGAGGGTCTGTTTCTGGCTGGTCATGGGTAAACAAGGTGGGGGGTCCTCTGTGAGTCTGGTCTCAGTCCTGTGGAGAAGAAGCTTCTTTGCCTGCAGAGTTAAACGTGGTCAGTGTGTCTGGGAGGGTGTTTCATCTCTGCTCAGCCTCCTTCATTTCACCCTCACAGGGAGAACTGGGGGCTCCCAGGCAAGGGTGACTAATGTCCCATTCCCTCTGCAGCCTGTCCTAGGACACTCAGGAAGCCAGAAGTGGCTCAGAAGCTCCGGCTCCTGGAGCAGGTAAGGAGCCTGCGTGCAAGGAGCAGGGAATCCATTTCCCAAAGGGGCAGGGGCAGCTGTGTTATTAGTGTCTCCTGAGAACAGCAGTGCGGATTGCAGCAGCTCTTAGAGGCCCTTGAGTTCCCGGGGCATCAGAAAGCCCTAGAGCCCCAGTGAGCACACCTGAGTGCATATCAAACAACTCCGTCCATCCATCAGGAAATGAGGTGAAATTTACTGATGACTGGACTACAAATCCCACAGTGTGTGTGGGCTTTTTGTACGGGTCTCGCCAGGTTTAAAGTCCCTTAGAGACACGTGCTAGGGACTACAGCTTCCAGAAGGCCACACGGGGGGCACTGTGGTCATCACTGTACTAACTAATGGTACTTCTCCCCCAAATCTTTTTTCTAGTCCAAGGAACAACACCCCTTATTTGCCGACATCCGAGGGTCATCGGGAGCGCGTCCTCAGCCTCTCTCAAGCTCTGGCCACTGAGGCGTCGCAGTGGCACAGAATGATGACAGGTAAGGAGGGACTGGGGACCTAGGGCGTGCTCCTGGGTTTCTGGGACGAGGAAGGCAGAGGCCTAGTCCTGCTGGGGGAAGATCTGAGGGCCCCTGGGAATCCTTTGTCTTGATGAGGAAAAAGCAGGATGAGTTCTAGGTCCCAGGCAGGAGGGAGTTGGGGTCCAGGATTCCTGGGTCTGGGGGAGGAGAGGGCTGGGGACCAGAGTCCTAGGTCGGAGAGAGGAAAGACCTGGGGATCCGGAATCTCAGATTCCAAAGTTTGCTATTTGCATTCCCCACTCGTCCTCTCCAGGTGGAAATTTGGACTCTGGGGGAGAACCTCTTCCCTCGGTACCGCCTCCTCCGTCGAACCCCAAGCCCCAGGTGACCTCGCCCCCAAAATCGCCTCCCGTGGCCAATTCCCGCTCCACCGGGTCCTCGAGCCGAGGTAGTGGGCGAGGCACAGGCCCCGCCTCCTGGGAGCCCACGTGGGATTCCGGGACCGCCCCTCTCGCCCCGACCCAAGGGGAGGGGGCGTGGCCTTTGCGAGTCACTCTACTGCAGTCCAGCTTCTGACCCGCTCAAGCGCGGCAGCCAATTGGAACACGAGGGCGTGGCCTGGAGGGACCCGCGGAGACTTGGAGCCGCTCTGGGCAGCTGAGGGCATGGTCAGGTCCTCTTCCGAGGCCTGCGGGGAGTGGTTTCTATGGCCAAAGTTTGTTTTTTTCCAGCACTTGTCCAAATTCGGATTAAAACTTTGAACTTTTAGTTAATAGCTTTCTCTGTCTGTTTGGGATTGTGACACTGGGGACTCTGAGAGGCAGAGCTGGAGTCTGGAATTCTCGGTCCCCAGGGAAGAAGGGGTCAGGCAGCTCGAAGCTGTAGGTCCGAGCAAAGGGGGTGGGCTGGCTTACTGAGTTTGAGGGGGAGGGGGCCGGGGCCCAACTTCCAGGCATCTGGTCTTCCTGGTAACACCCCCCAGGGCCGGGCTCCCAGGGTCCAGCCCACAGCCTCACCGGACTTGGGAAGTAGGAAGAGCCCCAGAGAGAGTGACAGAGGGAGAGACAGATTGACGGACGCGGGATGGCCACGGGATCGCGCTACGCCGGGCAGGCGGTCATTGTGACCGGGGGCGGGCGCGGCGTCGGAGCCGGGATCCTGCGAGCCTTCGGTGAGGGGGTCTTGGCTGATAGCATACTGGCATCTGGGACAGGAGCGACCCCGGGGGCTAATGAGTGTGAGAAGGTGTTATCTTATAAAATCCAATTTGCGATGCTAACGAAGAGGTCGGAGTGGTATCCCGAAGCCTAAGTTTTGGGCAGGAGTTAAACGCCCTCACTCCCTTTCTCTGGGTCTCAGTTATAGCTACAAAACGGATGGTTTGGAGGAATGTATCTCTTGCAGATGTAGGTTTACTCTGGAAGCCAGCGATGGGGGTCTCAGGAACCCCAGCAGGTATTTGGAGTAGCTAAAGAGCATACGTGTCAAGGCCTCTGCCCTTTGTCCTAGCCGGTCGTCTTGAGACTGGGGTCCCCAGGGGAGCCGAGTGGGGTGACAGGCCCCACTGCAGATGGCCACAAGAGGGCAGCAGAGGCCTTAACCAAGGCTCGAGGCCCCAAGTAGTTATCTGTGACAAAGATGGTGAGTGAGGGCCTCTGGGTCCTCAACCCCAGCCCCTCCTCCCCCAGCCCCAGGAGCCCAGGCCCCCAGCCCTTCTCTCCTGCAGAGCTGGGGGGCCAGGCGCTGGAGCAGGAGCTTCCTGGAACTGTCTTTCTCCTCTGTGACGTGACTTGGGAGGAAGATATGAGGGTGAGCGCATATTGTCCCCACTCCCTATATCTGATTTCTCTCCAGCTGTGTTCTCTTCCAGGCTTTTGCACATGCTGTTCCCTCTACCTTTCCCCCTTCTCCTGGCTAAATTGTTCAGGCCCCAAAGGTTTCAGCTCAATGTCCTTCCACCCCGGCCCCGCCCCCTGCCTCCCACTCCCCTGCAAGGCTCTCCATGAATCTGCTGGTGGGCCCAGGGGTCTCCTGGGGGAGCTTCTCTTTCATCTCCCACATCTTCAAGATCCTCATCACACCTGTCACATAAATGGAACAGAGGAGCCCGTCACAATGAGTGGGTCTTTCTCTGTAAGAGTTGTCCCCCTCCTGTCTCAGGGTCTCTTCCCTTTAGTCAACAGCTCTCTGATATCTGTCCCCATGGGTCTCTGGAGTAATGGCTGCAGTGTGACCTCTGGGCTCTTGGCGCCGCTGGCCTCCTGTCTCCTCTCTTCCTGCCGTGCCTGGTGACTTGGGGGAGTCCCCCACTCCTTCTAGCTCCTGTCCCCTCAGCCATGGCTCTGACTGCCCCCTGCCGGCCTTGCTTTTGAGAGCCTTGCCTGCCAACCCTCCTCACTCACAAGATGTCTTTCTTCTCAGACCCTCATTTCTGAGACTGTCCGCCATTTTGACCGCCTGGATTGTGTGGTCAACAGCGCCAGCTACTGTGAGTTTTGAGGCCGGGGGGCCGTTCTCCATGTCAGCCGACTTCCTGGCTTCTCACCCCTTCCTCCTGAGCCTTGGTTTCCCCTGTTCTCTGCCCCCAATTCCCCCCATTGTCCTCTCTGCCCACCACAGGACAGCTGTGGACTCCCCCGCGCCTGGGCTTCCACCTGGCTCCGTTCTGTGCCGGCGGTGTGAGCTCCTCTCTCCAGACCTCAGTTTCTATATTTCTAAAATAGGCATGAGGATGATGATGGTTGTCACCGTAATGTTGTTGTATTGAACAAGGTAGACTGGTCAGCCTCTTAACGACCGGAACTTCTAGGTGAGGCTGATGGCCTTTCTATTGCAGAGGTCTGTGGAGATGTACCCATGGCGTGTGGCGTACAGGGCTTACCGTGGTGGCTTCAAAGGGAAATAGGCATCAGTTCCATGATTGCCCTTCATAAGCATGCCTCATGCTTGCAAACCAAGGCTCAGAGAGGTGGACTGTTTGCGCCGAGGTCACACAGCAAGGCCGTGGAAATGGCTTGAGGAAGTGGCTCACCCTCTCTGGGTTTGCTGTTGTGAGGATTAAATGGATGGTGGATATCAGTTCATTCTTTCTCTTTGTATCCTTTGTATATTTAACAGGTATTTATTGAGCTCCCACTATGTCCCAAGTTCAGTCCTAGGGACTAGGGATTTAGCAGTGATGGGATTCACCTTCTAGAGTAAGGAAATAGACAAGAAAAGACAGATACAGGTAACCCTCATTATTCCTGGATTTTGCGTTCGTGAATTCCCATTCGCAAAAAAAAAAAAAAAAAAAAAAGTTTTTGTAGCCCCAGAATCAGTAGTATTCGTTGCGTTTTTCTGGTTTTTCGCAGACAGGGGCAGAGTGGCCAAAATTTGAGTTGTCTGTGGCACGTGCTCCTGGCTGAGGCGGGGCAAGATCATGCTTGGCCCTGGTTTTAGTTCTCACACAGAGATGCCAAGGGGACAGATGCAGGAGGGGCCGGCGCACCCGCGAGCTCCCATCCTGGGGCCTGCTGAACCGGTTGGAATAACGAGGTTGGCACCTGTTTGTGGGTGGCCTTGGGCAATTGACTTATCTGCAAAATCAATAAAATAGAGTTTACCAGTGTGAGCTGTGTTTAGGATTTAAGATTATAATCGATGTTAGATATCCATCTATGTATGTATATGTACACACAGATGTACGTACACACACAGGCACCATCTCAGCCCGTTCAGGGCGCTGTGACAGAAATGCTCTTGGCTGGGTGGCTTAAATAGCAAACACTTGTCTCAGTTCTGGAGCCGACAAAGTCCCAGATCAAGGGGCCAGCAGATTTGGCGTGTGATGAGGGCCAGCGTCTCACTGTGTCTTCATGCGGTGTAGGGGGCGTGGGAGCCCTCTGGGGCGTCTTTCCTAAGGGCGCTGATCCCCATCACACGGGCTCCACCTTCATGACCTAATCACCTCACAAAGGCCCCCCCTCCAAACACCATCACCTTAAAGTGTCAACACATGAGTTTTGTTTTCAATAAAAAAAAAAATTTATTCCTCACCCAAAGATATGTTTTATTCGATCAGTTGCCTCCTGTCCGCACCCTGACTGGGGACTGAACCCATAGCCTAGGCATGTGCCCTGACCAGAAATGGAACTCACAACCTCCGGTGTGCCGGGCGGCGCTCCAACCAACGGACCCACCCCGCCAGGGCAACGCATAAACTTTTTGAGGGAACAAACATTTAGTCCCTAGTATGTTCATATTATTATGTAATATTATATTACATACTTCTCCGAGGAGCCGTGGGTCGCACTCCCTAATTCCATGTTCACTGTGACTTTACGGAACGTGCCTGGGAAAATGAGAATCGACTATATATACCAACTAGTCTGTGCAGTGGAGGAGGGTTTCCCCTCGTTCTCATTCTCCTGTCTTTCCAGCTCTTTTTCTTATGAGTGTTGACTTTTCTTTCTCTCTAGCCACCCCCCCAGTTCCTTCTGTTTATCATTGACCTCGGAACAATGCAGGGGTTAGAGGTACAGACCCCCCGAACAGCTGAAAATCTGCTTGTAACTTGTGACTGCCCCAAACTTTCCTTCTGTCTCTCAGTATCCATGGGGGATTGGCCCCAGGACCCATTCAGATACCAAAATCCTTGGATGCTCAAGTCCCTTATATAAAATAGAGTAGAACAGTGTGTACAGTCAGCCCTCTGGACCTGTGGATTCCCTGCCATGGATCAAAAATGCTGTTGTTCTATTCTGTGCACCTAGAACAAATACAGAGTATTATTGAATGTAAACTGTATTTGAAAAAAATTAAAAAAATTAAAGATGTTGTTTTTGATTGGCAGTTGGCTGAATCTGATACAAACCCTGGATACGGAGGGATGACTGTATATTTATTGAAAAAAAAAACTTCATATAAGTGGACCCACACAGTTCAAGACTGTGTTGTTCAAGGGTCAACCATATTTAACAAACTCATTATGGTACCAAGCATCAGCCCTAAATATTGACTTGTGACATTTTTAAGCTCAAAAGGGGTTATTGGCCTTCTGCGGATGAGGAGACTGAGGCACAGAGAGGCAAAGTGACTTGCCCGAAAGCACACAGCCAAGAAATGGCAGTGCTGAGTTTCGAACCCAGGGCCTCTGGCCCCCGACACTGCTTTCTTTATTAGCTGCTGTGTGGCCTCCCTTTTCACCATCCCTGACCCTCCTGCCTGCCAGCCCCGTCTGGGCCTCCACTCCCTGTTCTGCCATCCCCATTTCCCTCCGGTTCCCAGGTCCACGTGGCCCCCTCAGTCTCTCCGCTCTCTCCCCAACCCCTGCCCTTAGCCCACCTCCACAGTGGCCCGAGGAGACTTCCGCCCAGGACTTCCGGCAGCTTCCGGAGCTGAACCTGCTGCGGACATACGCCTTGACCAAGGTGAAGGCTGGCGCCCCGGCGGCCCGGGCCAGGTGGCCTCCTGACGGTGAGATGGTCAGGCCCACTCTGAGAGCAGAATGTTTCCTCTGCCTTGCTTTAGTCTCCTTGCCCAAGGACTCTGTTCCTTGTAGAAATTAAATGCTACAAATCCGCGCATCCAGCAAGAGCTGCCTGGGTGGGTACTTAGCTCTGCCTTCTTAGGAACTTTCCGGGGCCCCCCAAGGCGGGGTGGTATTTGGGGGGCGTGTTAAGAACACGGGTACGGGTTGAAACAGGGAGGCAGTAATAGGCAGTCACAGCTCTGCCGCCCCACCAACAGCGGTTAGGAGCAAAGAGCATCTCCCTCTCCCTCTGCGCCCTTCCCCGGAATATTCCCACAATGCCCTCTGCTTCTCATCTCTTCACACGTCACCTCCTCCCAAGGCCGTGCCCGGGCATCCTCGCTTCTGCGGCTCTCACACACACATGTACTCAGTCTCTATAGTAGATGCCATGTTTCTTTGTATCACAGCACTTTTGAATTCACTCAGTCAGTGAACACTCATTTAGCACCAGCAGTGGCTAGGTAAGCACAGGGCGCCCAGCAGGGGACCACACAGACGGACCCTCTGCCCGTGGGGAGCTGCATCCTAGTCGGGGAATCAGGCGGCAGGCCTGTAAAGACAGAACACCCTGCCAGGGAGTGATGCCAGGCGAAAAGGGCGAGGGAAAGAGGGGGGTAGTGCGTGATGGGTAAGTGCAAATGCTGTTTTATTTTCATGTGGCACTTTGTTTACCTTTATTACGGCATTGGCAAGTGTATGCAGAAGCGGAGAGAACCGTATTCTGAACCCGCTTGGTCATCGCTCAGTGCCAACAGTGAGCAGCATTCTGCCACTCTGGCTTCTTGGAGACCCTCGCCTTCTTTTCCTGGGCTGTTTTAAAGTAAATCCCAGATTTCACCTGAAAAGAATTCAGTGTGATCTTTACCAGGCGAGGGGTTATTTTAAATTGTGTAGTTGTGTGCTATTTTATTTCATTAAAAAAAAACAAAACATTGTGTCTATTTATTTTTAGAGAGAGAGTGAGGGAGAGAGAAAGAGAGGGAGAGAGAGGGAGAGAGATTGGTTGCCTCTCGCATGCCCCCTACTGGGGACCTGGCCTGCAACCCAGGCAAGTGCCCTGACTGGGAATTGAACTGGCAACCTTTTGGTTCACAGGCTAGTGCTCAACCCACTGAGCCACACCTGCCAGGGCTATTTTTTTTTAATCCTCACCTGAGACTATGTTTTTATTGATTTTAAAGAGAGAGGAGAAAGAGAAACATCAATGTAAGAGAAATACATTGATTGGTTGCTTCCTGTATGTGCCCTGACTGGGAATCAAACAGTCAACCTTTGGGTGTACTGGGGCTATGCTCCAACCAACTGAGCCACCCGGCCAGGGCTGTGCGCTCTTTTATACAGGGTGGAGTGGTCAGAAGTCTTTTCTGAGAGTTGACATTTGAGTCATACCCCAAGGAGGTGTGTGGGGAATAGTGGTCCGTTCAGCAGAGAAACTGCCAGTGCAAAGGCCCTGGGGTGGACGGCTTGGAGTGCAGAACAGTGAGAAGGGCAGTGTGACTGACGCAGGGCAAGCACGGAGGAGAGGGTGCAAGGTGAGGGCAGAGAGCGGGCAATGGGACCCAGCCTGCAAACCACGGAGAAGACTTTGCTTTGACACGGAATGAGCAAGGAGGGAGCCTTGGAGGGTCCTGAGCTGGGAGAGGGGAACTGCTATGAGTGGAAACTGGCGCCCTCTGGCGGCCGTGTGTGGAACAGATAGGGCGAAGGCTGAAGCAGGGGGTTTTGTAAGTGGTCCAGGCCCGAGGTGATCTTGGTTTGCAGGCTGACGCCCAATCCACTGAACCACACCTTTAAAAAAAATTTTTTTTTAGTTATTTATTTTTAGACAGAGGGGAAGGAAGGAAGAAAGAGAGGGGGAGAAACGTCAATGTGTGGTTGCCACCCACATTGCCCAGACTGGGAATCAAACCAGTGACCCTCTGGTTCACAGGCTGGCACCCAATCCACTGAACCACACCAGCCAGGGCTGTACATGGGTCAATCCCAAGGTGATCTTGGATCTGACCAGTCTGGTCACCTTGGATTGGTGAGAAGTGGTCCAATTCTGGCTCCATTTTGAAGGTAGAATTGTCAGGGTTTCCTCATAGATTAGATATGGAGACGAACTCGAGAAAGAAAGAAATTTTATTGTTATTTGTTTAGCAAGTGTAGGGCGGGGGCCCCGGGGGTGGAGCAGGTGGGGGACATGCCGGGCGGGATTTGCTGGTGCGGCGTAAGGGTCCAGGCCTGGAGACATCACTCTGGAGCTCAGCGGCTTGCTGGAGGAGTGCGGGGAAGCAAGTGTAGACAGCAAGACAGGAGGAGCCCAGTGGGTAGGCCAGGGGTCACTGTGTGGGGAAATCTCCGGTGCTCTCTTCAAGGTTTGACCTGAAATCCAGGTGCAGTGTCCCGAGTTGGGTCATTTCCTGCTCAACCAGTGAACCCTGGCTCCTGTCCCTAATTTCTGTTCGCCTTCTGTGCACCACAGCCCAGAAAACGCTTGTGTGTGCGCATGGGCGCACGTTCAGCATTTAGAAAGAGAATGATTTTACGTAACAACTGGATTTCTAGTTTCCTTTGAAAAGTTGATACACTGGACCCATAGAGAGGCGTGACGTCTGCTAAATGTGGTCTGGGTCTCTCTGTACCCAAGTCCCTGCCTCCCCTGTTAGCTCCCTTGCCTGTGCTCCCTGGAGTGCGTGAGAGTGAAGGGTCGGTCTGGGGCCTGCCTGCCTGAGGTCTCTGCCGCTTCCTACTGGCGGCATTGGACAGGTTACTTATCTCTCTGCGCCTCCATTTAACTATATGTAAGTGAGGGCTAATCATGGTATCTAATCCCCAGGGCAGTTCGGAGAACTGAATGAGAGTTGATTAAATACTCACCCAGCCCTTAGAACAGACCTGGCACAGAGTTTGCAGTCTGCGAGCTATTATTGTTTACCATGAACCTTGTCCCATTCTGGTCCTTGGGACTGCTCCACCTCACTCAGTTTGAGGCCTCTGACATATGTGTTGGGCAAACAAAAACTAGGGGAAGTAGAAGGGAAAGGTGAAATTTGAGCTGGACCTTCAGTGGGAGGGCAGGAAGTGGAGAAGTAGGGCACAGAGTGTTTCACTCACTGGGAAAAGAAGGTGCAAAGGCCCTGGGGCAGAAACCCCTGGGTGTATTTTAAGAACAGGAGAACCACCCCCTCGTCTCCAGCTTAGTAATTGCAGGCGTTTTGTTGAACTTGTTCTCCCCGTTGCCTCTTGCATTCTCCTACCCAGGCATCATGTAATTTCCTCGGTAAGAACTTCATTAGTACTGTCAATGGATGGGAATATTTATTTTTATTTTGAAGTAGTTTCAGTGCTATAAAATATTGCCAGAAGAGTACAGAAAACTCCCATATACTCAGACTCTCCATTGTTAATATTTGATCACATTTGCTTGATTTTTCTCGCTCTCTCTTTGAGAGTAAGTTGCAGATAGGACGTCCATTTACCCCCACCCCCACCCCCGGTACTTTGGAGTGTATTTCCTAAAAACAAGAGCTGTGTCTTAGGCAATCACACGAAGATTCACACCGACACCAAGGTCTTAGCTAACCTGGATACCTCCTTATTCAGGTTATTAGAATTCTTTTTTTTTTTTAAAGATGTTATTTATTTATTTTTAGACAGAGGAAGGGAAGGAGAGAGGGGGAGAAACATCAGCGTGTGGTTGCCTCTCGTGCGCCCCTCACGGGGGACCTGGCCCGCAACCCAGGCGGATGCCCTGACTGGGATTCCAACCGGCGACCCTTTGGTTCCCAGGCCGGCACTCAATCCACTGAGCCACACCAGCGAGGGCAGAGTATTAGAATTCCTAACATCGTCGCAGTCCCACGGCCGTACGTGCTTTAGTTGCGGGTCCCCCCGAAGCACCTCTGCCCCCTAGCGGAGGGCAAAGGGCAGGGTGTGTGGGAGGTGATCCCAGGAAGTGCCGCCCTCGGGGTGGGGATAGTTGTGGACATGGAAGGGAGCCGATGAGGGCATCGCTGAGCAAATTACCACTGGGGCAAGGGGGGCGCTCGCCCTGGGGAACTCTGGGAGTCCAAGAGAAATGGGCACCTCACAGGGATCCCGCAGCCCAGAGGTGAGGGAGACCCAGGCGTTTTAATTTAAAGCTGCCTTCAGGGGGCGCGCGAGAGGCAACCGATGTATTTCTTGCACGCTGCTGTTTCTCTCCCTCTCGTTCCCCCTCCCTTCCCCCTCTCTAAAAGCAAGTAAATAAAATCTTAAAAGGACATTCAACTTTACATTAAAAAATTAAGGCTTTTGTTTTACATAACCAAACTGCCTTCAGGAAGTTAGCAGTAATCTCTTCCTACAATGTAATATTCAAGTCCTGTATGAATTCGCCCCTTTGTCCCCAAATGCCTTACTCACACCAGGCTCCAGGCAAGGTGCGCCCGGTACATTTGGCTTCCTGGAGGACAAAGGCTTCCTGTCGCTCGGTCATGCCTCTGTCCCAGCACCTAAAACCGCGCCTGCGGCAAGGAGGTCTGTCAACACGAGTACGTCGCTGCCGTTACCACCGTCCTCACCGTCACCGTCACCGTCACCACCAACATCACTGCCACTGCTGTCCTCCTTCTCCCCTGTGTCATCGTCATCACCACCGCCAGCATCCCCGCCACCATCCCCTGGAAGCTCTTGAAAGGCTGACTCTCGGCCACAGCCCGGACCTGCTGCCTCGGACTCTCCAGAGCCTCGGCCTCCCCGGTGGCTTCCCGCGCCAGCCGAAGTCTGGGATCGCCCAGGCTAGAGGAAGCAAGGGAGGAGCGAGGGACCCTCACGTAGTCACCGGCGTGAGATCTTAGAGGCAGAAAGGACCTCCGGAAGGTGCCTGAGCACAGGGGTGTCTGCTGTGGACTCTCCCAGCGGGATCAGTTCTTAGGGACCTACCCATTCATTCATCCATCTGTGGATCAGTAAATAGACCTGGGTGGGTGTCAGGCAGCATAGGAAGCGCCGGCATCACACCATGCAGGCTTCGCCCTCGTGGGGTCCACAGTCATGGGGCAGCCGGGTGTTATTAGACAAATGCAGAGGTGAGTTTACAGGGGCTAGTGTGTCTTGTGCCAGGGAGGAGACAGGTGTGGCTCGAGAAGACATGGGACAGGGAGGCTGGCCTGTTGTGGGAGTCAGGGCGGGTGGGCTTCCTGGAGGAAGCAAAAGATGAGTGATGAGTAGCATTAACTGGAGGGGTGTCGAAGGGGGCTCTCCGGCTCCAATGTCCAAAGGGAGGGAGGGGAAGGGAGAGCCAGACCAATACCAGTCTGGGGGGGCCTTGATGTGGCGACATGGAAGTGCAGGTGTTCCTGGCAGAGGGGACAGCGTGTGCGAAGGCCTGGCAGTGGGAGGGGGGACGTGCGGGAAGGGCTGGGGGGCAGACCACATGGGCCCTTGAGGGCCACGCCACGTGGCTGCTGGTCTTTATCTCAAGAGCCATGGGGAGCCATGGAAGCTATTTGAGCAAGAAAGCGATGGGTCCGATGAGGAACTGAGGCAGAGGGAGGCTCTGGAAGGCTCCCAGGTCTCCCAGTTTGTTGCTTGAGAAGCAGTGTGGGCGGAGACCCCATGTTCAAGGCTAGGGACCGGAAGAGGGGCAGGTTTTAGGAAGAGGCAGTGGGGTGATTTCTATACTCAAGACCCAGAGATGGAGAGGCCAAGGGGGGCGGGGTGGGAGCTCCCACAGGGGGATTCAGGAGATGCCGTTGGAGACCAACAGTGTAGGGACTCCCCAGGCGGAGCCCGGAGAGTGAGGAGAACCCAGGAATCCCCACATGAAAGCGAAGTGGAGTCAGGCCGGAGCCAGGCTCCCCAGATTGGCTCTCTGACGGCGGGAGGGGCGGTCAGGCCAGTAGGAGGCCAGCAGGCCCTTGATGCAGCTCCTAGGTGACCTTGGGGTGGGCAGGCAGGGAGGACAGGGCCAAGGAATGTGTGGGAGGGCTGGGGAGGGCAGTGCGAGACAAATATTTATTCAGCAGCAGCTGTGGGGATGAGGGCAGCAAATGGACCGTGTCTCCACACGTATTGTATTCCTTTCGTACTGTATTCCTGTGCGTATTCCTTTCCGCGCAGGCTGGGAGTGGAGAGGGAGTTAGGCAGAGGAAGTGATCAAGATCCCTGGAGAGATATGGCTGGGCAGAGAGATGGGGCGGGTGCAGGGGTGGGGCGGGGGCGGGGGCTGAGGGAGGGAGGGAGGGCCTCAGGGCTGAGGAGGCCCTGGCTGGCGTGGCTCAGTGGATTGAGCACCCGCTGGCCTGTGAAGCATACAGTCACTGGTTTGATTCCCAGCCAGGGCACAGGCCTGGGTTGCGGGCCAGGTCCCCAGTAGGGGGTGCGCGAGAAGCAGCCATACCTCGATGTTTCTCTCCCTCTTTTTCTCCCTCCCTTCCTCTCTAAAAATAAATAAATAAATAAATAAATAAATAAAATCTTAAAAAAAAAAAAAAAGGCCAAGGAGAGTGAGGAGAAGGGGGGGAGGGATGAATGGGGATGGGGAGAGAGGAGGCGGCGGGAGGGTCACGGTTGCACCGCACCCCCAGTGGCTCCTGCATTCTCCTGTCACTCCCCGCTACACCCTGAAGTCTTTAGTTGTCAGAAATTATTTGGTTAGTGTCAGACTACAAATATCGGTTCTGTAAATACAGGTTCTGTTAGGTGTCATGTAACCTCCTGTGCGTATTAGTCACCCTTCTGTTCCTAAAGAAGCTCATTCGTGTAAAGTTGAACATGCTCCAGGCCCTCAATAAATCCATTCACTTGTTCAAAAGATATTTTCGGAGCACCTGCTCTGTGCCAAACAAAATCAGAATTTCAGCTGTCCCCTTGTGGCTTTTTGCATTCTGTTGGGAGAGGCAGAGAATAAGCTAATAAGTAAGTAAAATATATATGTGGTGATCTGGCTGGTGTGGCTCGGTTGGTTGGGTGTCATCTGGCAAACCTAAAGGTTTGCGGGTTCGTTTCCTTATCACGGCACATGGCTGGGTTGCAGGTTCCGCCCTTAGTCGGCGCATAGAGAAGGCGGTGAGCTGATGTTTCCCTCTCACATTGCTGTTTCTCTCCCTCTCTTGCTCCCTCTCTTCTCCTCTCTGTAAAAGATTTTAAAAAGTAATAAAAAATAAAAGAAATATATGGCATGTCAGAGACCATGTGGGCCACAGAGAAAAGGAATCGGGAAACAGGATGGGGACCTGGGTGGAGGCAGTTTGCCATTTTAAATAAATAGGATGGTTAGGGAAGGTGACATTTGAACAGGATTTGAAGTTGCTGAGAGAGTAGGTTTACCCAGCACTGTCCCACTTTAGCAGTGAAACTGTAGACTGAATGTCCCATGTCCCCAGAAACCCTTTCATCCTGGCCGAGCCAGGGTGGTTGGTCACCCTAGGAGTGAGCTGAATGGTTATCTCAGGACAATCATTCTAGGCTGAGGGAACAGCACGTGCAAAGGCCCTGAGGTGGGAACTTCAAGCACTCGGGGGATGTTTGAAGACAGCGCTCTGAGGACCGTGCGGAGGCTGTTCCGGAGAGAGAAGGAGCGGGTGGCGCGATGTGGGGAGGGAGCCAATTTCTGTTCCCATCTGCAAACCCCTGGGGGAGCTGGCTGGCGCGTGTTGATCTCTAGTGGCACGAACAGGCCTTGTGGCCAGCTCAGCTGCCCAAAGCAAACAGGGGACAAAGAACAGAATTGGAATTTCTTCAAGGTCACAGATAGTGAAAGAACTGGGAGACGGAGAGGGAGGGAGAATTAGTTTAGGGACCTCCAGGTAGCCGGGGAGTTTTAGGGGAGAAGCTGGCAGAATGTGGAGGTCATTTCCTGAAGGCCCCCCACGCTCTGCCCGCAGAGCTCTCCCTAAAGCTCAGAGAAACTGTATCCCTCTCCACAGGGGAAAGAGGTTCCTCCTATTTTTGCAGAAAAATGCAGCCATGTTGCAGAGAGGGGGATAGGAACAGGAAAAGGTGCGGGTGGAGAGACAGGGAGACTGTAGAAAAGGAGAGAAAAATTGCTTTCAGACGGGGGCAGGGGGAGGGACTCCTTCAGGGCTGAGACCCAGAGACCCTGTGGGGAGCCAGTGAGGGTGCGCTCTGGAGCTCCAGGTGACATCCCTGCAGGGCACGGAGGTCAACTAGTGAACACACCAGGGACAGGGCCATCGTCCCAGAGGTGCTTTCATGGGCTCAGGGAGGTCCGGGGCCTTGGGCGGCTGACTCTGCCTTCTGTCTCCCCAGCTTGCCCTCCCGCACCTGCGGAGGAGCCGGGGGAACGTCATCAACATCTCCAGCCTGGTCGGGGCCATTGGCCAGTCCCAGGCAGCTCCCTACGTGGCTACCGAGGTAGGCCGTCCAGGTGCCCCCTCGTTTCTTCCTTCCCCCACTACTGGCCCCGAGGGGCCTCCAACCTGAAGCATAAAAACCTGTGACATCTTGTCAGGCACCAAGAGTCTCCCAAGACAAAAAGCCTAGCCCTGGCTGGTGTGGTTTGGTGGCTTGGGCGTCTTCCCTCAAACCAAAAGGTCGCAAGTTCAATTTCCAGTCAGGGCACATGCCTGGGTTGTGGGCCAGGTTCCTGGTTGGAGGTGTGTGAGAGGCAACTGATTGATGTTTCTCTCACATTGATGTTTCTTTCCCTCTCTTTCTCCCTTCCTCCCCCTTTCTCTAAAAATAAATACATAAAACCTTAAAAAAAGAAAGGAAGAAAAAGAGAGCAAAGCTGGTGCATCCCCACGTAGCCTGCAGGGAGGGCAAGCCTTTCCCATTCTGATGCCCCTGCCCGACACCCCGTGGTTGGAAGGCGAGGACCCAGGAGGGACCTGGCCTTCCCTGGACTGAACTTTCTCCCCGCTCCCGCCCCGTCTCCCGTAGGGGGCGCTGACAGCCATGACCAAGGCCTTGGCGCTGGACGAGTCAATATGGCGTCCGAGTCAACTGGTGAGCCGCTCCGAGTGAGCGGGCTGAGAGCCCCCTGGGGAACAGGGAAGACCGGGGGCGAGCCCAAGAGGCAGGGGGCGCTGCAGATCCACCTGATTGTCTCTTCTCCCTCCCCCACTATCTCTCCAGGAAACATCTGGACCTCACTGTGGGAGGAGCGGGCAGCCTCAACGCCTGACCCCCAGGCCACAGTCTGAGAGGGCATAATGGCCCGGGTGGAGGTGGCGGCCAGGCCCCGGAGGTACGGTGGGTGGCAGGCAGGGGAGGGCTCCACTTGACCTCCTTTTCGACTGGCCTCTCCCCAGCCCCTGGGCCGCGAGGGCCAGCCAGCTGAGGTGGGGGCTGCCGCCGTGTTCCTGGCCCTGAAGCCACCTTCTGCACCGGCATCAAGTTGCTGGTGGCCGGGGGTGCGGAGCTGGGGTATGGGCGCAAGGCCGGGGGTGCGCCCCCGAGGAGGCCCCCCCCCCCGCCATCCCTCCCTGATTTCCCACGCTTCCCCTTGGGCTCCCTGACTAGGGGCCCCACCCCAAGCCCAGTCTCCCAAATCCCAGCTCCTGCCCTCTGCCTCTCAGGCACAGCCCCCAACTCTGGACATTGAGCCCATTTACCAACGTGCCCAACCACCCCACAGGTTCCCATGAAAACATTTTGCAGCCAAAAGGAGGAGGTCCTCATTCCGTTTATTTTCTGTCTACACCGCCGCCTCCGGTCCCCCCCCCGCCCGCCCCCCCCTCCCCGCACTCTAGCCCTCAGCTTGACCTCCACCTGGGACTGCAACTCCCAGCAGACTTTGCTGCGGGAGCTTCCGCCAGGGGCTCCAGAGAAAAGTGCTGCAGGTTGGCTTCACCAGTGACCCAGTTAAAAGGATCGCAGGGGAGAGTCAGTTAAGCTCTAATTAGGAGATAACGCAGGGGATGAAGCCAAAGGAACTCCTCTTTGTTCTTGGCCCTTAGCAGAGCAGGAGGGTGGCTGGCCCCAAAAGTTCTGAGGGCAGAGGCGGCTGGGGATTGAGATTCTTGGGACGGAGAGAGGAGCTGGGGCTCGGGACTCCTGGGTTTTGGGGAAGGAGGAAACGGGGCAGGTAGGAAACTGGGCGGCTTTGGAGGGCTGACCCTGGATCCCCGACCCCGGCCGTGGGGGCCCAGTCGCGGGTTTATCCTCCAGGTGAGGGGGTGGAGCTGCATGGCTGCTGCGGATAGGCAGCCGCGGGGGGTGTGCGGCAATCGCTGATTGGCAGAGGCGGGACCAAGCAGTCTACTATTTTTTTATTTTTAGAGAGAGAGGAAGGGAGGGAGAGGGAGGGACAGAGCCAGCGAGAAACTTCGAGGTGTGAGAGATACACCAAGCTGCTGCCTCTGGCATGTCCCCATCCAGGGACCTGGCGGGAAACCCAGGCTTGTGCCCTGACGGGGAATCAGCTGGTAATTGCTCTGTTTGCAGGCTGGAACTCAATCAACGGAGCCACACCAGCCAGGGCCCAGCCTTGCGAGCACCTCCTCCGCTACTGCCCCAGGCAGTGCGGTGAGGTGGGAAGGAACGAAAGCAGGAAGACACCCTACTAAGGGACTGTTTGGAATTTGACTGCTTGGGCCTGTGGTCCTAGGGCTGGGGAACAGAATTTGGGGGCAAGGTATCCTGGACTAGCATTATGGAGGCATAGTGGCTTTGGGCTTGAGTTTGAGGATACAGCAGAAACAACGGTTTGGAGTCACGGCAACCTAGAGGCAGGGCTCTAGGGACCTGAACCACGGAAGGTCTGGGCAGCAGGCACACTGACCGGGGAGCAATCGGCTACTCTGCCTCTGGGGGTTCTGAAGTTGGGGAAACCCTCGGGAAGGTGGTAAGCAGGACATCCTGTTCTAGAAGCAATTCATCTGCCACAGGTGGGCACAGGCAACCAGGTTCTTGGTGATCGTGGACAAAAATGGAACCGAACACACAGTTTATAGCGAAAAGCAAGAGAAAGCAGGTTTATTAAGCCACACAAACCATGGGAGCAGGCCGGTTCAGAGCAGAGCAGAGCAGAGCAAAGCTGAGCAGAGCAGAGCTGGGCAGAGCCAACTCTTTTTCTTTTAAAAGAATAACTACTTTTATTCTTTTAGGGCAGGTCTCCCCTGGCTAGTTTTGGTCGGCTTTTATTACGCATGTACAAGTAGTTATATTTCTTTAAAGTTACTGCGCAAGTGGTCCCCCCTGATTTCCTTGTCTGGCCAGTGGAAAGGGGGGTCCCCACAATGCTAATTTATTATAATGCTATTATAATGAAGCAGGGGTCAGGTAGATCTGCACAGGTTCATTCATAATTCACTGGGATTCAGTGCTTTTCCAGAAAGCAGGAACGACCAGTCTTAGAACAGGGTTTTGGGTCCTTTATCGATGTTCTTTATCGTAGCCCTGGGCACCTCTGGAGTGTCCTCTTCCTATCTCCTGCTTCACTTAGAGGCTCATCAATACGTTGGGGTACAGAAATTTTTCAGGTCCCACTGATGAAAAGGACTGGAAGGAGGCATGGTGAACTGTGGTTTTGTCTGTTTTTTTTTTTTTAAATATTTATTTTCAGAGAGGAGGAAGTGAGAGAGAGGGAGAGAAACATCAATGTGTGGTTGCCTCTCATGTGCCCCCAGCTGAAACCCAGGCATGTGCCCTGACTGGGAATCGAACCAGAAACCCTTTGGTTCACAGGCTGGCACTCAATCCACTGAGCAACACCGGCCAGGGCTATGTCTTTAAAAAATTACAGAAAAACTATATTCAAACAGGGTTTTTGACTGCAACTCCTTCATCCCTGCCTGCAAAGTCTTTCCCCAAAGTCCTTTCCCTTTTCCTTTATGTGATATGCACCCGTGGACATATATAGTATGCTTTTCCTTTTCACCAAGGAAGGGATCGAGACCTGCGGAGGTCCTGGCCTTTCCTCTCTGGCTGATAGGGGAACTCAAGAGTTAAAGATTTTAGTCTTAGTTGACAGGCTTAAGTGATTGACGCCTCTGGAAAGCTCTTATTCCAGGAACTGGAATACTCGACCTTGGTGACTCCAGGAGGTGCGTAAACAATTCAACGACTGCGGTAGAGGGAGGAAATGTCCAGGACACAGGTGAAGAACTGTTGATCAACAGATGAAGTACTAGGAAGATCGTCTCTCCCCACCCCCCACCTCCCGGCCCCACTGCAGCTCCTATCCAATGAACCTCCTTTTCCAAACCCCTTACCTACCCTTTCTTCGCCTTATAAAAAAGGTCGGCTTGAAATGGGATGCTAAGACCGACTTTAGAGTTCATAACCCCCCTTCCCCCCGTCTTCTCCGATCGCCGGCATGTGAATAAAGAGCCCATAAAGATTCACTCTTTGTCCCTGCTTATTGGTTCTTACAGTGACAGGCAGCATAAACCACCGATTTTGCCAATTCCATTACCCGGGGACGCTTCACAGCACTCCCGCACGGTTGCAGAACCTATTGAAATGCATTTTTGAAGGCGCTGCAGGCGAGCTCTCCAACAGCCTCGGTGTCGCTGGAACACCCCCTGGAGGGGGCTGGGAGGAGGGTGGTTTCGGTTAAGTCCCGTGCCGGGGGCGCGTTCCGGCGCATGCGCTCTGCAGCAGCGTCCGTCTCCACGAGGGCACCCTGTAATAATGGAATCTTGCGGCGCCCCGCGCGAGGGGGCGTGGACCAGGCGGAGCCGGACGTCTTAATATTGAGCAGGCACAGTTACTCGCAGCACCGACCATGGCGGGAGCCGCGCTGGGGAAGGTAGGTTCGCAGCGGCCCCGCGCTGTGGAGCTGGAGGACCCCGCGGGCGGCGCACTTCCGGGAGGACCACTCACGCGCCGCCCGTCCGGCCTGGCTCCGCTCCTCCGGCACTGGGGTTCCGTTGCGAGGCGCGGAGGAGGAGGGGGGCCCAGCTGGAAAGGAGTGCGGAGCTTTGGTGGGCGGTGGCGGGTGGGGGAAGGTTATTGGTGGGCAGGAGGCCGAGACGGGAAAGATGGAGGAGGGGACAGTAATGGGAGAGGCAGGGGTCTGGGTGGGGGACTAAGAAGGGGGTCGTCAGCCTGTGGAGGCACCAGGATAGGCCCCCAGCACCCACAGGGGTGGGAGTGGGCTGAAGGCGCAGAGTGCATCCTCAGGTCCGGACTGGGAATTGGATTCCAGGCCGTTTTTTCTTGGAACTAAAGGCTAAGATAGATGTGAACCGTTGTGTCCCCGAAACCTCTTCTAAAGCTCCGCACCTGGGTCGGACGGAGATCAAGGCAGCTTCTCATTGTCAGAGTGACAAAAACGCTCCGGGCAAGACCGAGACAGTCCGTTTTTCCGGTTGCGAGTCCACCAGCAGAGTTCAGAAAGCCTGTGATTTTAGAAAACAAAAGTTTCTCAGTGAGGAAGGAAACTAGCAACTCCCAGAAGGGGAGGTCATTACAACCCTTGACAGCTACAGCGTAACCTTGGGAGCCGCGTTCCTCTGTTCGCGTTGCACCTGCCTGGGGCTGGGTCTCATCCTGGCTTGACGGATGGCAGGGCAGATTTTCGACTTTCTTGGGTTTCAGTGGCTGATGGAGACAGGCCTGCGCTGTGACTGGGGCACATCGGGGGATTGTGGTGGGACTGTCGTGGGCAGTGACAGGGACAGTCTGGGGTTGGGCTGTGGAGAGTCTTGGGCTGGCACAGGACAGTTATCATCGGTGACAGGAGAATCCTGGGCTATAATGGGACAGTTCTACACGTGAAGGGATCAGTCCTGGGCTGTGACAAGGACAGCTTCGGGCTCTCACTGGGACTGTTTGGGGCCGTGATAGGGACTGTGCCTGGGTGAGACAAGGCTGTGCGGTGATGGGGACTTTTTCTGGGCTGCGATGTGAGGGGCAGTCCTGACGTGTGAAAGACAGTGCTAGGTAGCAGGTGACAGAAACAAAGGGACAACCCTGGGCTTTGACGGGGACACTCCAGAGCCATGTTGGGAGACAGGCCTGGCTTGCAGTGGGGACAGTCCTGCACTGTGATGAGCCAGTAGCGGCTCCCTGACGTTGCGGAGCCCTGCCCTGGGCACACGTCCCCCCCGCCCCCTCAACTTTCCTTGTGTCTTAATTCAGCCCAAGTGCTTGCACACTCTTTGCCCCAATGCCCACCTACCATCTGGGAGTTCTCCTCTGGGCCCCGTCCCTGTGGCTTGGCGTGGCGGATGGTGGGGTGTCAGCCGAGGAGAGACCCCTCCCCTAGAGGCGTGTCCAGGGAGGATGAAGGTGGTTTCTCCCAGTGTGACAGGGGCGCTGTGGCCAGGGCAGGTTTCTCAACTGCACACTGACAAACCCCTTCTCTGCCTTGTGGGTGTGTTTTCCACCCACTTTGTTCCCTCTGTCCAGGACACCTCTGTCTCTAAGCATCACTGAGGCGGTTTCTCTCCAGGTCGTTCGTACTGTTGCTGAAGTCGGGTCTTCATCTATTGCCTTTCCCCTCGTCCTCCCGCTCGGGGCTTCTCTTTATCCCCACCCTCCTTATGTTACCTTGCTTTCTCCAGGCTTACTTTCCTAGAGTCTCTCTCCCTCTTCACTGTTGTTTCAGCCTCTTTCTCCTAATGATCATATCTATTTTGGCCTCTTGAGGTTCTTGTTTTCTGTTCTTTCCGGTTTGTGTTTTCTACTTCTCCCACCCAAGAACTGACCACGCCCGACCGAACCTGCGAGGCCTTGGAGATCAGATGCGATCCGGCGTGTTCAGGATAGGAGACTGTTTTCTGTTTCTCTTTCTCTTTCTCTCACTCTTACTCTTCCCTCCCATACTCTTTTATTTTCATCCATTCTGGTTCCCCCTGCAGGCTGCCCTCTTGCCCAGATGCTGCCCATCTCTGCCCTGTAGGGACTCTCCACGCTGTGGGTGTTCTGTCCCCTCCTGGATGGAAGCGTGGCCACAGGCTTACGCAGGCCACACCGCGCCACCTAGAGGCCGTGCGTCAGAGCAACACCCTAATCATGCCAGAAGTCCTGGGCGCCACACTGCTATAGGTGGCCCAGACTTTATGCCTTCGCAGCCCCTCAGCCCCCCTCTCCCCACGACTCACCTACTGCCCAGTCACCGCGGCCATTCACATCCGTTCTCATCGGTTGGTGTCAGCTCACCCAGCCCAGCGGCAGGCGCCGGCTGGGCTGCTGTTGTCTCCTTAGCCTCACGGCACAGCCGTCTTCCCCAGGGCTGGGGAAAGAGCCATGTCAGGTCTGAGAACTCCGGGGAGAGGGCACCCTGCAGGCCACAGCCAGACCAGCCCTCCCCTCCCGGCCTCAGGCTGGCAGGGCCCCAGGAGAAGTGTTCACTGGACGGTGTCCGTTGGTGACTGGGGTGGGGGGTGTCCAGGTCCTTGTGGCTACCCCTTCGTCCTGGGATCTGAAGGGAACTGGAATCACTGGGGTTCGAAGTGTGGGGCAGGGAGCGTCAAGTAATCAAATTCAGTGAGTCTGCTACCCTTGAAGAATATAGACTTGGACTCCCGGGTCTGAGGGAGGAGGGGCCGGGGACCGGACTCCCGGGTCTGAGGGAGGAGGAGGCTAGCAATAGAGATCCTGGCTCCTGGGGGAGCATGACCTATAGGTCCCCTGCTTTTCTAACTCTTATTAGGATTTGGGTCCCCTGGCGAGGCCTTCACTTACCTGCATACCTTCCCTTGTCGTCTTCTCTCTGAACTGGTCTCAGGGCTGGGGCCAAAGTTCTGTGGGGTGGGAGGTGCCTGAATTTGACTTTGCCCGGCATGGAGGAGGGAATGGGAGCTGAGTCTGCTCTTTCCAGGGATGGCCTTCATAGGGGTGGGAGGGACTTGGCCTCCCTCAGGATCCCTTCCTGCTACATTCTGATCAGGACAGAGGAAAAGACTTGACCAGCCCTGGCCAGGTGGCTCGCTTGGTTGGAGCCTCATCCTATATACCTAAGAGTTGCAGGTTTGATTCGTGGTCTGGGCAGTGGCTCGGGTTTTGAGTTCGATCCCTGGTCGGGGCACAAGCAGGAAGCGGCTGATCGGTGTTTCTCTCACATCAGTGTTTTTCTCTCTCTCTCTTCCTCTCTGTCTAAAATCAGTAAAACATAGCCTTGGGTGAGGATTAAAAAAAAAAGACTTGGCCAGATCATATGCCCTGTTTAGAGTGCACTGAGCCTGGGACAGAGTAGGCCAGAGGGACCTCCCAAGTGAAGGAGGTGATGAAGGAGTTGCCAGGGCTTTGACACTCTCTCTGTCTCCTGGCCTCACCACCTTTCTTCTGTCCCTATCCCCAGATTTGGTTCCGAAAACTTCTCCCTGTCCCTTGGCTCCTGTGTGGTCCCCGAAGATATGCCTCATCCAGCTTCAAGGTAAAAGGAGGGGACTATACTCTTGGATCCTAAGGGAGAGGGGCCGGGGGCCTGAACTGCTGGATCTGGGGAAGGAGGGGGCTGGGTATGGACTTTGGGAATCCCCAAAAGATCCAGGGTTCAAAGGTCAAGGTGGGTGGCAATGGGGTAGTCTAATTGCCTGCTTTTGGGCTGTGGGAGAGAGGAAACTGCATGTCCCAGAAGCCTCTGGAGCCTCTTCCCCAAGGACTCACGGAAGTTGTAGTTTTTCAGTGTGGACGTTGTGGCCAGACTCCAGGATCCCCGGGTCCCCTTTCTTTTCTCAGGCTGCAGACTTGCAGCTGGAAATGACACAGAAACCTCATAAGAAGCCTGACCCCAGCGAGACCCTGGTGTTTGGGAAGACGTTCACCGACCACATGCTGATGGTGGAGTGGACCGAGAAGAAGGGCTGGAGCCAGCCCCGAATCCAGCCTTTTCAGAACCTCTCGCTGCACCCGGCCTGCTCCGCTCTCCACTACTCACTGCAGGTGGCATGGCAGCCGGCCTCTGCCCTGTCCCTCTCTGCGTCTTTTCGCTCTCGCTCTGTCTGTTGCCTGTTCCCCCGCCCTGGGTCTGCTCTCTGTGTTTCTTCTTTCTGTGTATGTGTCGTCTGTCTTCAGAGGCTTCTCATGGTCCCGCCCACGTGCTGGAGGACGCTGGGGTCCCCGAGAGGAGCAGATCCAGTTCCTTCACTTGAAAACCACACGTTTTGGTCACAGGCTAGTGTGATCTGAGCTCTGATGGCGGCAGCCGGGGCATCATGAGGAGCCAGAGGAGGAACCCGATTCCTCCAATAACTTGAGAGAAAGTGGGGTCTGTCTGAGCAAAGGGGGACGTGTAAGGCATTAGAGGGAGAGGGGACGGCCAGTAGAGGGACAGCACAAAGAGGAGCCCAGCGTATCTGGGGGGACCGTGGGACTGGAGCGTGGTGCAGGGGGCTGAGGATGTCATCGGGGCCACAGAGGAGCCGAGGGGCTGGGACCTCGTCAAAGGCGCCGGGAGCCACGGAGGCTTCGAGCAGGCACGGAGCAGGGCCGGTGCTGGGTCCAGTGCGACCCCTGCCAGCGCACGGGGTGGGTGAGCAGGAGCGTGGAGACCGGAGGCCAGCAGGCCGGGCCGTCCGAGGTCCAGACAGGAGGACATAGGTAGATGTGAGGCCTGAGCGGGGGCGGGAGCTGGGGGATGGACAGGAGGGACTGGCCGGCTGCGTGAGAGGAGGGAAGGGAGGGCTGAGGAGGGCGCCCCGAGGTTTGGCCCGATGACCATGTAGTCCACGGGACTGTGTCCGTAGGGGGACTTGGGAGGTGGATCGGCTTCACGGGGCTTGGTGATGGGCCTCTGAGGAGAGAGATCCAGGTGGCATTCGGTGTGTGACTTAAAGCTGTGGCTGAAAGCAAAGTCTTCCTGAGGAAGCTGTAGTTGTGACAGGATTTGAATGAACACAGTACAGCTCCAGTAGCTGGTTTGCAGCTGAGCGGTTTTTGTTCCTTAGAGTATGATAGTTCTGTAACATTAGGCATGTTTTCCTGTTAAGAATTTTGAGAGTTGCTGTGGCCAGTGTGGCTCAGTTAGTGGGAGCGTCATCCCTAAACTCATTGTGGGTTCGATTCCCGATCAGTGCACTTGCTCAGGTTGCAGGTTCGATCCCCAATCGGGGCACATGCGAGAGGCAACCAGTCGACGTTTCTCTCTCACACTGATGTCTCTCTCCCTTCCCTCCCCTCTCTGTAACAAATCGGTGGACATGCCCTTGGGTGAAGATTTAAAAAAAAAACCTTTTTCTGCAGGGCTCCTCCAACTCTGGACATTTGACTAGAGCCAGTCAGCTCTGTGCAGAGGTGACTACCTTCTGTAGCGCTTAGAGACGCTAGGGACGGACAGTCAGGATTGTAGCCCCAGGAGGGTGGTGTTTGGAGGCTGCCGTCTGTTTACCTCTCAGTCCTCCAGCTGGGAACCAGCGCTGCTTCGGCTGAGTGAGCACGCACGAAAGGGTGCAGAGGCCCTGGCATACAAAATGGACTTTTTTTTGGTACTCCCTCTCATTTGAGGTGTGTGGGGGAGTGAGGCCAGCCACGGACATGGGTAAATCACGTTCCCACGCCATCTTCACTCTGGGGCATGTGCGGAATAACAACCTGACCACCTGTATTTTTTTTTAATTTTAAAAAAAGTATTACTGATTTTAGAGACAGGAAGGGAGGGAGAGAAAGACAGAGAGAACAACATCAATTTGCTGTTCCACTTATTTATGCATTCATGGGTTGATTTATTTTTTTTTTAAAGATTTTATTTGTTTATTTTTAGGCAGAGGGGGAAGGCAGGGAGAAAGAGGGAGAGAAACATCAGTGTGTGGTTGCCTCTCACACACCCTCTACTGGGGACGTGGCCTGCAACCCAGACGTGTGCCCTGACTGGGAATTGAACCGGTGATCCTTCGGTTAGTGGGCTGCGCTCAAACCACTGAGCCACACCAGCCAGGGCATTGGTTGATTCTTGTATGTGCCCTGACTGGGGATCGAACCCTCACCCTTGGTGTAATTGGGATGAAGCTCTAACCAACTGAGCTACCTGGCAAGGGCTCGCTTGTATTGTTATTTTTTTAATGCTCATGGTGATAGTGTACATGCAGAAAAATACACATAACGCCTGCTTTCTGTCCTTATCCCTCTTTATTTAAAAATTTTTAATTTTATTTGGAGTGTTTTTCAATTAAAATGTGTTCTTAAAAAATGGACACATACGCCCTGACTGGTATGGATCAGTTGGTTGGGAGTCATCCCACAAAGCCAAAGGCCACCAGGTCCCTGGTCAGGGCACGTGCCTGAGTTGCGGGCTTGGTCCCTGTTGGGGCGTGTACGAGAAGCAACCTATCGAAGAGTCTCACGTCGACGTTTCTCTCCCTCTCTTTCACCCTCTCTCTAAAAATAATAAAGTCTTAAATTAAAAAGGAAAAGAAAAATGGACATATATTCACACAGGTCAGAATTGTAAGTGTAAAAGAGAGACTGTCCCTCCCCGGCGCCCCCGTTCCCCGTTCCCCGTCCGTCCGGGGTGCAGCTTCCCAGATCTCAATGCCGACCTGTGTGATTGTTTCCTCTCTTGTCGCACAGAACGTACCAGGCTGCACCCTCCCTGTTTGACATCTTGCTTTCTTCCTTTCGTGCCTCTTCGAGCTTCTTGAGCCTCCCTTAAGAGCTTTCTCCTTCTTTTTGCCGCGGTGTTAGGAACCCAGCCAGACAGTGCCTCATGAAGGCAGCGCCTGCCATTGGACGGACGCCTGTGTTTCCAGTCCTGTGCTACCGATCACAGACAGCATTGCAGCGGGCAATCTCGTAATCCCGTGTCACTTCCTTTAAGGGCACGCTCATAACTCCAGTTTCTAGAACTGTTGGGTCCAAGTGTGTGTGTGTTTATAATGTCGATAGACGTTGCTGTACCTGCCTCAGTGGAAGCTGCCTCAGGTTCCACACCCCCCAGAAGAACCTGTTTTCCCACACCCTCAATGACCTTTGTCATACTTGTCCAATTTCCTAAGCGGTTATTTATTTGTTTCCAGAGAGGGGAAGGGAGGGAGAGGAACATCAGTGTGTGATTGCCCTTAACGTGCCCCCTCCTGGGGACCGGGCCCTCAACCCCTGCATGTGCCCTGACCGGTGACCCTGTGGCTCGCAGGCCGGTGCTCAGTCCATGGAGCCACACCAGCCAGGGCGCCTAAGCGGTTTTGAATGTATCTCAGAGTAATTTGAATTGACCTTTCCTCCTGATGACGAAGTTTCACAAGCATCTTTCACAAGCGCAGGAGCCATTGTTATTTGCTGCCTGTGAACTGTCCATTTTCTAGGATGATTTTTCTACCGGGGTGGGTTTGAAATAAATTTAAAAATTCATTTGCAGGAGTACTTTGAATAGCAGATACAATATATGTGATATGACCTGAAACTCCCCGGTTTATTTTTATGCAGTCAAATGTATCAGTCTCTGTTTATGTTTTTTTTTTTGGGGGGGGGGTCAGGCTTCTGTGATTTGTCATATTTAGAATACCATCCCCAATGCAAGACCTAAAATAGTTACTTTGTGTTTTCTTCTATAGCTTTTATGGTTTAATTTTTCAAATTTAAATCTTTAATCCACCTGCAATTTTTCTTAGTGTAGAGTGTGAGACAGGGATCCAATTTAATTGTTTTCCCTAGGTGAGTATTTGGTTGTCCCAACACCATGTAACTGAATTAACCATGTGTTCCCCCATTGCTTTATAATCTACTTTTTAGTCTCTTCCACCGGTCAGTCTGTTTACTCATGTGTCCATGTCACTTTTTTTTTTAATTTTATATATTGGTTTGAGAGAGAGAAGAAGGCGGAGAGGGAGGAAGGGAGAGAGAAACATTGGTTTGTTGTTCCACTCACTGATGCACTCATTGGTTGATTCCTCTATGTGCCCTGAGCAGGGATCGAACCTGCGACCTTGGCGTGTCAGGACAAGGCTCTAACCCACTGGGCTACCTCGCCAGGGCTCCATGTCACTCATTTTATTTCCCCCAAGCTATCCTGGCTTGTTTTTCATTCTTTAGTCATGCGTTTAGTCATTCATTCACTCTCCAGAAACCTACTATGTGCCAAGCACTGACCTGGGCCCAGGGGTAGGGGTCCCTTCTCTGTGCTACTTCCAGTCTGTGGAGAAGCAGACATTAAAGAAGCAAGCATGGGACTCTGGGGCGGGAGTCAGGCCCCCCGACCCATCGCGGGGTGAGGCTCCCCAGGAAGGATGTAACGCCTAAGCTGAGCCCTGAGAGTAGACGTAGAAGGACCTGAGATGGGGCAAGGAGGAGAGGCCCCTAGCGGAGGGCCCAGCGGGTGCAAAGTCTGGGAATGTGAGGTGGGCAGGGGGACAGCAGTGGGGGCCCAGCGGGCAGTGCGAGTCCAGGAGAGCGAGTTGGGAGAAGCCCGCTCTTGTGGTGAGAGGGGCAGGGGTCGGAACGGCAGGGTGGGGTGGAATAAACATTTTTTGGGGGAGGGGGTATTAAAAGGAGTGCTGTGCCCAGGCTGGAGTGGCTCAGTGGGTTGGGCATCATCCCGCAAATGGGAAGGGGGCCGGACCGATTCCCGGTGAGGCCACACGCCTGGGTGGTGGGTTTGGTCCCCGGTCGGAGCACCTGTGAAAAGGCAACCGGTGGGTGTTTCGTTCTCGCGTGGATGTTTCTCTCCCTCTCTTTTTCCCTTCCTTCCCCTTTCCATAAATTTTTTTTAAAGATTTTATTTATTTATTTTTAGAGGGGAAGGGAGGGAGAAAGAGAGGGAGAGAAACATCAGTGTGTGGTGGCCTCTCGCCCGCCCCCAGCTGGGGACCTGGCCCGCAACCCAGGCCTGTGCCCTGCCTGGGAATCCAACCGGCTTCCCTGGGGTTCGCAGGCCGGAGTTCAATCCATTGAGCCACACCAGCCAGGGCTCGAAATATTTTTTTAAAGTGTTTTTATTGTGGAAAACTTCAAACAAAAATAGAAGGATGAGACCGGCCCCTCCCCTCCCCCTCCCCCTGCCTCACCAGTCAGCGTGGTTGGTCACCGTCTGGTTTAACCGGGACTTCCTTCTTTCTGTAGGGTTTTAAAGCAAATCCTGGGCTTTGTATTATCTCATGCAGAGCTATTTCAGTGTTTTTCTAAAACACAAGGACTCTTCAAAAAAAAAAAACAAAAACACAACTCCCACACCATCAGCAGTCCTGAGAAAGAGCCGCCTTGAGCAGCATGTGGGCTGGGCACCTCTGTCTCTGGGTCGCTCTGTTCTGCGCTGTCTCTGTCCTTTGCTTCCTTGATTGTCTCGGTGTCCTGTCCCTCTGGGTCTCTCTTTGCTCTCTCACCCTCTCGTTCCTTGCGCTCAGCGGGCCCCTCTCTCCCCAGCCGTGTCTCTGCTTCTGTGTCTGTATGCCTGGGCACCGGTCTGTGTCTCGCTGTCCCTCACTGTCCCTTCCCGGCTGTCGGAGGTGGTCTCTGAGCTGCCCGCCCACCTGATCCCCGCAGCTCTTTGAGGGCATGAAGGCGTTCAAAGGCAGCGACCGGACGGTGCGCCTCTTCCGACCCTGGCTCAACATGGACCGCATGCTGCGCTCGGCCCTGCGCCTGTGCCTGCCGGTGAGGCGCCCTGGCCACCCGGGTCCGGGAGGGCGAGGGGGGCTGCAGCGAGCGCCCCCTGACACGTCCAAATCCCACGCAGAGTTTCGACAAGGTCGAGCTACTCGAGTGCATCCGCCGGCTCGTGGAGGTGGACAAGGACTGGGTTCCGGACAGCCCCGGCTCCAGCCTCTACGTGCGCCCTTTGTTCTTTGGGAACGAGGTGGGCCCGGCCCTCAGTGCGGGGGCGGGGGGGTGGGGGGGGCGGCGGGGCTCGGGAACCAGACTGGGGTGGGGGAGTCCGAACGGGAAGGGCCGGGACCCGGACGCCTGGGGCAGGGGTGCGGCTCGAGGCCTGGACTCCTGGGTCCCTGACGCCCCGTTCTGCCCATCGCAGCCCTCTCTGGGTGTCGCCAGGTCCTCGAGAGCCCTCCTGTTGGTCATTCTCTGCCCCGTGGGCTCATACTTCCCCGGAGATTCGATGAACCCCGTCTCCCTCCTGGCCGACCCGGCGTTCATCCGCGCCTGGGTGGGTGGCGTCGGAGACTGCAAGCTGGGGGGGTAAGTAGTCCTGCCCTAACACCGCCGTGGCCGGGCTTAGGGATGTGCCTCGGACGTCCGTTGCCCTCCCGGTCCTGTTTCACGTGGTTGGGGACAGCTCTGCCCACAAAATGGGATGTGATGTCCTTGGCACCGTGGCGGTGAGTGTGTGTGCACGCGTATGCGAAAGCGTGCTAGGGGAGCAGTTGAGTGGGGCTTGGGGTCGAGTGGAGGTCCGTGGGGAAACCAGGCTTGGCCTCTTGGGAAGCCTCCAGAAATAGAGTTTCCACTTATTTCGTTGGTCTCATCACCAGGCAGCCTGCCCTGAACACTTGGGCCCGCCCCTCTCCTCCCCACCCCCCCTAGGCCCCTAGGCCCCTGGGCCCCCAGCGCCCATCAGCCTGTGTGTGACTCTCCGTGTAAGTCTGCCTCACTGGCAGCCTTGGTTCAGGACAGCAGGGAGGGTCTCTGGCTGGTGACCAGGGCGGAGAATGGGGTGAGGGCGCGCCGGGGCAGCATGTGCGGTCCCAGCCGGGAGTTCGTTCAGGCCCTTTCACACACGCGTGTCATGAGGCCTGCCGGGCCGGGCCCTGCGCTGGGGCCGCCGACCCGCAGGTGAGTCGGATCCGGGCCGGTGGGAGCCCCAAAGTCCAGGGCGGCGCATGCTCTGAGGGAGGCGACTGGGGCATTTTCCAAGTCCTCAGAGGAGCTGGTGACACTTCAGCTGAGCTTGGGGGTGGGAAGGAGACGGCTCCTGGGTACAAAGGTGGTAAACAGTTTCTAATCCTGGGGACCACCTGCGTGAGGGTGGGGGGCGGGGGGAAAATCAGTCCGGTACAGAGCAGGCCAGGCCTTGGCCTCCAGACGGAGGGGCTGCGACCCTGTCCCCTCGGCGCTGGGAGCCCTGGGCGGACAGCGAGTCGGGCAGAGGCGGCCCTGGCACGGAAAGACCCATCGGGACCCACGGGCAGGTTCGCTTGCCCTCGCGCGACCGTGTTGTCCTTCACCAGGAACTATGGGCCCACAGTCTTTGTGCAGCAGGAGGCGAAAAATAAGGGCTGTGAGCAGGTTCTCTGGCTGTACGGGCCCGACCACCAGCTGACCGAGGTGGGCACCATGAACATCTTCGTCTACTGGACCCACGAGGATGGGGGTGAGCCCACCCGCGACCCACCCCGAGCCCTGGTGGGAGTGGGTGGCACTCTAATTCCTAGCAGACCGCAGGTCTCAGGGATGGGGTGGGGTGGCTCCTCAGGCCGCGCCTGAGGGGCAGAGTGACACCCCCGCCCCTTGCACCCGACCCAGTGCTGGAGCTGGTGACCCCCGCGCTGGACGGTGTCATCCTGCCTGGAGTAGTCAGACAGAGTCTGCTGGACATGGCTCGGAGCTGGGTGAGGGTGTGGCGTCTACAGGCGGCGGGAGTGACGGGGTCCTGCTGTGTTGGGGGCCAGTGCATCGAGGGCGGGGGTGGAGCTAGGGTACCCTGGCTTGTCTCTGTCCGCCTCCCTTGGGTCTCTGTTTTTCTCACTGTCCTTAGGGCGGGAGAGGCAGGTCTTGGCAGCAGGGCAGCGCCCTGGGCTCATATGTCTGCTGCTCGCCCTGCAGCGCGAGTTCCGGGTGGTGGAGGGTAAGATCACCATGAAGGAGTTTGTACGGGCGTTGGAGGAGGGCCGGGTCCGCGAAGTCTTTGGCTCGGGCACCGCCTGCCAGGTCTGCCCGGTGCATCGGATCCTGTACCAAGGCAAGGTGAGGAGGCGCTGCCCCCGGAGATGGGAGGGAGGAGACGGGGTGGGAGCCCCTTGCTCACCGCGCCTTCTTTCCCAGAACCTCCACATTCCCACCATGGAAAATGGGCCCGAGCTCATCCTCCGCTTCTACAAGGAGCTGAAGGCAATCCAGGTGAGGTGCACTTGCTGGGGGATGGGCAGGTTGCCAGTTCCCTAGAGAAGCTCATGTCCCATGAGCCTCTGGACTGAGAACGCATCCCCCTCTCACTAGTCCCAGGAGATGATAAAGTCCTTCCCATCAGCCTCTGAGCCCCCGCCTAGTCGCTTTGCCCGAGCCCCTGTGGCCTAGCACGCCCCTTGGGGCTCCAAGACCCTTTCCTGGCAACCTCTGTAGCCGCAGCTTGAGAAATCCCTTTCCCTGAACCTCTGCAGTCCCCAGGGTCCTTCCAGTGGGAGAAAGCCCCTTCCCACGAGACTCTGGGACTTGAAGTCAGCCTGTGGCCACAGAAGTCCACCCCCCCATGGACTCCCCTGGAGCCCCGGGCTGTCCCTTTGGGCTGAGGACTCTCTTCTACAAGCCTCTGGCCCCCTCTGCGGCCCAGGACTGTTTCCTCTCATAAGGCTCTGGAAGTATTTCATTTCGTTTGAGCCAAGATACCTTTCCGGTGAATCCCTGGGCTCAATTCCTGGCACTTGATCTTGAGTTTCTGTAAACTCTGTAAAATCATCGGGACTTAGAACTTCTATCCACTATCCTGGCTTTCCCCACTGATTTTTTCCAACAGCCTGCAAGGCCTTAGAATAACTCCTTTGCAGAATTACGTCTCCCGGCGGCCTCTGCGCCATCTTGGCCATCGCTGGCGGGCTTCTGCGGGGAGGACTACATTTCCTATGAGGGTCCGGGGTGCGGCTCCGCCAGCACTCAGCCCGGGGTGTCCCGGGGCCTGCTGGGAATTGCCGTGTGACTGCCCTCTCACGCTCTGCTTGCCTTGTCCCGCAGTATGGAGCAAAAGCCCACGAGTGGATGCTCCCGGTGTGACGCTGCAGACTGTGCCTGGCCGCCACGCGGATCCACCGGCCTGTAGCATCTAATCCCAGCCGGATCGTCACCTCCCCAACCAGTGGTTCTGAAGTGCAATAAGTAAAAGGCCGGGGCGCCCGGACGCCTGGGTCTCTGGCGCCCCCTCGTGGTCGCTACACTCCCAAAGCCATAAGGGCCGGACCCAGGCATCTGGACCCGTAGCTCCACCTCTCAGGCCTAGGGGATTGGCATTCCCCACCGCTCTCTGCTGAGGGGGCAAGTAAACGCCCTGGCCCCGACTCCGCACCTCTCTGTTCTGTTCTCAGGCTGGATCTCCTAAGTGCTGCCGTTGATCTTGTTTTTTCTCTTCTTGTTGCAACTTTGAAATAAAATGCCAAATATAAGACATTAGCTGTCATCTCCAGTGATGCAACAACTCAGGGACTCTGGGGCCGTAACCAGGAGTCGCAGTCCTCAGCCCATTTCATTTTCTCATTTTCAAGCGTAGCTCCCAATGCCCTGAAGGTTTCCATGATGTGAGAGTCTCTTCCCCTTCATCACAAACTGGACTTAGCCTCTTCCCGCCCTAACCTGCGCCTCCCCGACCTCCCCGTCCTGGGGACAGTCCCACTGCACGTGGAGGCGCTAGGCCACCCATAGGGTGAGGGAGAGAATTCTGGGGTGTATACATAGTCACGTGTCAGATAACTGTTTTTAGAGAGCAACTCTTTTTAAAAAGAATTTCCTAAAACCTGTGACCTTGGGGAAGTGAGGTCATCTCCCTTAGCCTGTTTTCTCAGTACATTTTTTATTTTTACTTTTATTGATTGACTTTGGGAAGAGTAGTGAAGAGAGAAGTATTGATTCATTGTTTCACTTGTTCCTGCGGTCACTGGTTGATTTTTGTATGTGCCCTGACGGGGACTGGACCTGCAGCCTCGGCGTGTTTGGATGATGCGCTCACCAGCGGAGCGACCCGGCCCAAGCTCTTTTCTCATTTTTAAAGTGAGGATAATGGTGCCTATCCAATAAGGCTACACAACCCAAGAAGTAAATGGGTTATTCCATGTTAGATGCTTAGCACAAAGACTGGCATGTGGAAAGTGCTACCATAATTGCTCTTATTTTTGACAGTTGAATTTGCCTTAGGATTTTCTAGCTTTATTCAAAAAGTTGTCCAATTCTATGAGAAAATGAATACCTGGAAAGATTGGATGTATTTAATTACACAATACGTAGGGGACATAATGGTTTCAGAAATTGATTTTCTTCAAAGTATTTGAAGTCCTTTTCATGCTCAAGCATGTTCTTCATTTGAAAATAATAAATATACACTAAGTGGAAAGAACAAAAATGTGAATTTCCATTTAATTCAGTAATCAGAATTCTGAAAATTCACAAAAATATTTTTAGTATTCACATACTAAAATCACTTTAGAAATTTGATTTTCTGAAAATAAAAGCTTTAATTTCTTTAACCATGTCCCGCAACATTACATTTAGATGTGAACATTTTTATTGGTTTCTAAAAAACACTAATTCATAATGAGCCCCCCCACAAAAAAATACAGATGAGTTTAACTGAATGCTAAATATCAATTCTAAGTTAATGACCTAATCAAGAATATCGATAAGCCTTGACTGGTGTGGCTTGGGGTTGGGTGTCTCCCACAAACCGAAGGGTCAGCGTTTGGATTCCGGGTCAGGGCCTGTGTCCCCAGTTGGGGGCGTCCGAGAGGCAGCGTGATCGATGTTTCTCTCCCTCCTCTTCTCCTTCCCTTCCCCCTCTCGAAAAATAAGTAAAATCTTTTTTTAAAAGTATTAATAAAATCAACTCTATGTTCCATTCAGGAACACCTAATATACAAAAATAGTGATAATAAATATTTACATATGTATATATCTTTTTTATATGAAACAATAATGGACAATAAAATTAAATCGACGCTCCCAGAAAAGACCTAAAGGAGCTCACCACCACCAACCAGGATCACAAGGAATGTCAAAGGGACCTCTTTAAGAAGAAAAAAATATTTGCAAATCGTATATCTGACCAGGACCCATCTCCTCTGTTGTGTAGCTGAGTGGAATTGGGTCAAGTGACTCCCTTTCTTGGCCTCAATTTTTCCATCTATAAAATGGAGATAATACCACTTCACTCATAGGCTTGTTGGGAGGATTTAATAGGGCAGTTGTGCGGGGCACACTGGGCTCAGCAGGGACCGGGAAGCTCTGGGCCATCAGGGGGCGCCACAACCCACGCACTGGAAGTTGAGCGCACACAGCAGAGGAAACCGGGGAATAATATTAAAATAACATTATCTCACATCGTTTCTGAGGGTCTGAAATCCAGAGCAGCTTAACCAGGTCGTTCTGCTTCTTGGGGGTCTTCAGTCCCCTGTAACCGGGACTGCGATCACCCGGAGGCTCCCCCAGAGTTGCGGGGCTCACGTCCAAGCTCCCCCTCTCAGCTGTTGGCGCAAGGCCTCAGTCCCCTGCTGGTAGCTGCACCCCCCCATCCCCGAGGCTGCTTGGGTGTCGTCATGGAGAGTAGCTGGCTTCCCACAGGGCAAGTGATGAGAGATACAGAGGCACAGAGAGAGAGAGAAGAGGAGAGACAGACAGACAGGAAGACAGGGACAGAAAGAGAGAGAGATGGCAGCCATAGTCCTTAGAACTTCATCTAAGAAGGGATGTCCCGTCATCACCTCTTCCATGTGCTGCTGGCCGCGCTGTCCGACCTTGGCACAGTGTAGGAGAGGACCGTGCGGCAAGTGGCTGTTAGGAGGCGTGGGTTGCTGGGGTTCTTCTTGGAGTCAGGCTCCCACACCCAGGGAGAACTTGGGAGCTGCGTGTTAAGACAACACCGCTGCTTTCCTTACAAAATCAAAAATGGACCTGCCTTTGGACCCAGGCATCCCACTTCTGGGAACATACCCTAAAAATCCCGAAACATCATTTCGAAAGAATAGATGAACCCCTGTGTTCATTGCAGTGTTATTTACAATAGCCAAGACCTGGAAGCCGCCCAAGTGCCCATCAGGAGATGAGTGGATAAAAAAAGCTGTGGTACATTTACACAGTGGAATACTCCACGGCCATCAAAAAGAATTCTTACTTTTTGTGACAGCGTGGATGGACCTGGAGATCGTTATGCTCAGTGAAATAAGCCAGAGAAAGACAAGTACCATATGATCTCACTAATCTGTGGAATCTAATGAACAAAATAAACTGATGAAGAAAACAGAAACAGAGGCACAGATACATGGAGCAGGCTGACAGCTGTCAGAGGGGAGGGGGAAGGGGGCTGCTTGAACGATGGTGAGGGGATTAGCGACAGAACATACATGCATGACCCATGGACACAGACAACAGTGTGGTGGTAGCCAGAGGGAAGGGGGCGCTGGGTGGAGGTGGGCAAAGTGGGGGGATGGGAAAATCTGTAAGAGTGTTGATGATAAAAAATAAAGTTAAAAAAATAAAGAACATGCCCTGCCTGGTGTGGCTCAGTGGATTGAGCGCTGGCCTGTGAACCAAAAGGTTGGATTATCAGCCAGGAAATGTGCCTGGGTTGTGGCGCCAGGTCCCCAGTAGGGGGCGTGCGAGAGGCAACTGACCTTGCTATCTCTTGCCCATTGAGGTTTCTCTGCCCTGCTGCCTCTCTGCCAATTCGACTTTACGTGAAGGAGAAATTAATATCGGTAGTGTAAACCACTGCTATTTCAGAGTTTACTTGCCTCTGTGGTTAACTAATACGGGAATCAATTGCTGATGGAACAGGATGTGGAAGTTTAAACTGAACACGTAGCAGTTTGTGACTATACTGTGTGCATATATACTTTTGATAAAAAGAATAAATATGAAAATGGGGAAATAAAGAAAACCCCATTGCACCATGAGAAGGAAGGAATGTGAAAAAGTAAGCCGAACAAATTCCAAATGGATCAAAGATTTCAGGGTAAAATATGAAACCTTAGAAGAGCTAGAAGTAAATGTTGAACATTCCTTTATAATCTGGATGTGGAGAAAAACCTTTGAACTCAGAATTCAAAAGCCATAAAAGAAATCACTGATAAGTTTAATTTAAATGCATGAAAGAAAATCGTACTTTCTTCCTCTTCCCTTTCCTTTTCTTCCTGAACAATATAGCCTTGGGCAGAGAGGGCAAGGCCAGCCTCAGGTGCGGTGGGGACAACGGTCCAGAATGGGGTGTCGGGACTTTAGTGCGGTGAGGATGACGGCTACTCATAGGGCAGCTCAGCACAGAGCGAGGCTTCCAAGTGCGGGGGGCGGGGCATCCAAGTGCGGGGGGCGGGGCATTAGTGCTGGGAGAGGGGCCCCGGCTCAGGGAGGGAGGGTCACACTGAGTGGCGAGGGCTCGGGTGGGGGCCGAGGAGGGGAACGGGGAACACACCGGGGAACTGATCAAAGAAGTGAATGATGGAAAATGGACGCCAGATTTCTCACTGCTGGAGGAAGGGGGTATAACTATGGAAAGGGAGCAAATTAGAGGTGTCGGAGTTGAACTGTATATGTCACTATGAATTCATGTTTTTGATATAAGTAAATAAGCCCTGGCCAGGTGGCTCAGTTGGTTGGAGGGTCGTCTCAGTACACCAAGGTTTCACATTCAGTCCCCGGTCAGGACACATGCAAGAAGCAACCAGTGAATGCATCAATAAGTGGAACAAGAAATCGGTATTTCCCTCTCTTTCCCCGCCTTCTTCTCTTCAACTAAAATCAATTTTTAAAAAATTAAAAAATATATATGTTACTAGAAATGGGAATATGTGAATGTATATATACTTAATATTATGTGTGCATGTGTATATAGAGAGACCTAATATATAGATGTGTGTATATATACTGTAAATCTCACAAAACAGGGTGGCTGGGTCAAAGGATACATTTACAATGTTATAGATGTTGCCAAATTGCCCTCTATAAAGTTTACAAGTTATTTATACCGATTAAAGTTATTTACAAGGTCATCCACCGTGGCGCTCCTTAACAGAGAAAGGGACTGGAAAGAGCTCAAGTATCCATTAAAAGGAAACAGATTTATTTTATTGTTCATATTTCTTTCTTTTTTAAAAAAGATTTTATTTATTTTTAGAGAGAGGAGAAGAAAGGGAGAAAGAGAGGGAGAGAAACACCAATGTGTGGTTGCCTCTTGCACGCCCCCGACCAGAGACCTGGCCCGCAACCCAGGCCTGTGCCCTGACGGGGAACCTGCAACCTGTGGTTCGCAGGCCGGGGCTCAGTCCACTGAGCCACACCGGCCAGGGCTACTGTTCATAGTTTCAACGACTGAACCTAAAAAACAAAAACAAAACATAAAGCGAACAACTAGAATAGGAACAAAATCACAGAAATGGAGATCACATGGAGAGCTA